TAAGGCACGAGGAAAAGAGGTGATCATCATCACGATGGACAAATCTGCATCGGGGAGGCAGGAAACCAGGCAGTACCTGAACATGCCTCCCCCAGAACTCTGGGAGTGTCAGTACCCAACTGCCTGCACCTCCCCATCGGAAATAGAACCCAGTGAGACTCCAGAGGGACCATTCAGCTTCAGAGAGCTGTATCCTCCACGGGAGGACAGCTTATCTCGAACAGGGTCACTGATGATGAAACCCAGCCCAACACCGGCCCGGTTCAAGCTGACCCATGTGCAGCAGCTGGAGTGTGAGCCTTGGATAAAGTGCTGCCCAGCAGTGTTTCACCAGAGGAAAATCGCTTCTTCACAGGAACTTCAGAGTATCACTCCTATAGAAAAGCTCTCTTGTAAAGTCAGTGGCCTTGGCTTATCAAAAGGAGTCAACACCAGTCCCCAAAGTACTGACAGGAAAGACACTGCTCATGTATTCAAAACCTCTAATGAAACTGGGTCCAGGAAACCACCACCTGACAAGATAAACTATCAGACTCCTTTTGTTGAAGAAAAACATAACCCCAGTGTGATTCCCATGGGTCAGAGTGTCAGTTTGGGACAAATCAGCTTCATTTCAAACCTCAGCGGTTTTTTCAGGAACAAAAATGCAAAAACAGATCACGACAGTTCTGATTCTCAGTTAATTGCTAGTCTAAGTCCTGCTGCTGCTGCAGAAGACAGTAAGTCAGCAATAGGAAAGAAAGAGATTATTTCTCCATCTCACTCCTTGTTACCAAGTTCTAGAGAAGTTCTGGAGAAAATGCCTTCTGTTACTGTGAAAGGCAGAAATCAGCCTTTCGCAGAAGGACAAGGGTCAGGAGCTTTAGCATTGGATCAGACAAGGCCAGGTTTTCTGCCACCCCTGAGTGTGAACCCTTGCCCCCCAGTTCAAGAGATCACTGTCATAAACACAGTTTCTGGGATGATTTCTTGTGGTCAAACACAGTTAGGGCCAGCAGCACCTGCTTTTCCTAGGATGACCAAAAACACCAATCTGCTGCGCAGGAGGCCATATGAGCAGATTACAGTCTGAGCAGGTTAAGCAATTACTGAATCTTTAACGGGGGATAAGGGGCTACAAACTCTTTGATATGTAAATATTCACTGCACTCCCTGATTGTAATGGTGCATTTCACAAAGTAGAGCAGGTCTGTGATGTAAAGCTTTTTGCCTTGGGATGAGTCGAACAGCTTAAAGACTACATGAAGGCATACTTAATGAATGAGGCTGCTTTCCACAAACTGAGGAATACTTGTTTTCCTGGTTTTCTAAGATTTTCAACTTACTTGTGACAGACTGAACCCACAATGGCTCTTAAGCACTGCAGTTGTAATTGTAGGTTGTGAATATGACTCCTAGATTTTCCCAAACATGTACTCTTTTTGCACCAACAGAGGTCATACACATGGAGTTTGGGAACCTGAAACAGTTGACTGTGATGCTGGACACCAGCCTGACTGTCCAGGTTGTACAATACCCAAAAAACTCAGACACATCAGTGTGCAGGGGCAGGTGTACACAGGCAATGTCTCCTGCTTCTATGACTTCACTCCATGCAAACAGTCAATAAAAGTCATGTTGCAGAGCTGTGCTGCCCAGGGAATTCCAGCTAAAGACTGGGAGCATGTTTCAGATCCCTGGCTGGCCCTGGGGCAGGTGGTACACAGCTCTGGGGTGCTGCAGGCCAGCACACAAAGCCTGCCAGCCCTGTCAGGAGCCCACATGGAGCACAATGAGCCCTGAGTGTGACACAAACTGCTCACACTGTCAACAAGGCCTCTCAGCCACCTTGGGCTGCTCAAGGTTCTGGCCTGCTGGTATCTGCTCCTCTCAGAAGAGGAAGGGGGCTGGAGACAGAGCCTATATCTAAACAAGAGTCTGTCATTGTCTGCAGCTCTGGACTCTCCCCAGAAGAGATCTCCAGGTCATGCAGGAGCTCTTTGTTCCCAGTCACAGCCCTTTTTACCAGGGTACAGATGGTGGGGCACATCAAGTGTTCTTCAGCAAGGGCACTTCACACACAGGCTCGGGAGCAGGGAAAAGCTCTGTCCTCCTGCTCAGACCTAAAAAAAGATAATCGAGGGGTGGGGAGGCCTTGGCACAAGTTGCCCAGAATATCCATCCCTGGAACTGTCCAAGGCCAGGTTGGACAGGGTTCAGAGCAACCTAGTCTACTGGAAGGTGTCCCTGCCCATGGCAAAGGGGTTGAAACAAGATGGGCTTTAAGGCCCCTTCCAACCCAAACCGTTCTGTGGTTTTAATGACAAAACTCACCTGGGAGATGGAAATCCACATTTTGCCTAATTTGAAGCAGAGGACTGAATGTCTTACAGGTAGAAAACACTCCTCTGCAGACTCCGAGCTACTGCATATTTTTTATCATCTCTATCTAAAAATCCATCTTTCTTTGCTTTCCTTTAGTGTTCTACAATTCCAAACATGGCTCTGTCTTTGTGTGCATACCATAGATATTGGATTGCATTTAGCATTTTAGATCTCATCTTCTAAATATTGAGAAAAAGTGAATGTGTTCTATGTTGTCATAGTTTACAGAAAGTGGTTGTATTGAAATTGTGTCTGTGTAATGTGAATTTCAGTATACTGAAATACTTTTTTTCTGAAAATGCTCAGTCAGTACTATGTCTGCTTGCAGCTTCAGTCAAAGTTCACTGAATCTGACATTGCCTAACAAATAACTGTGATGTTATTTAGCTTTGCACTTAGTATATGATAATTTAAAGGGGATGATAAACATGAAACAATTTAAAGGGGATGATAAGAACAATTTAAAGGGGATGATAAACATAAAACAATTCAAAGGGGATGATAAACACACTCTGTGTAAATATCTTTTTTGGAGTATTTGTTGCCATTCAGGTTCTGCCTTTTCCTTCAGATGTTGTCGGATCAGCCCCTGTGTACATCAGATAGAAGCAGGGATTATGTGGAAATCTTTTTATGGCAGAGAAATTACATGGGACAGAGTATGTCACTATTAACTGGGTACAAATTGGTCCCTACACACAATATATTTTTCAAATGTTTTCATGGCATTAAAAATGGAAATGACAATTTGTCATTTCTTAATCTCATAATGAAGTTAAATATTTGCAATGGAAAATGGATCTTTAAAAACATACAAGTCCTTTTTTAGAAGAAATGTACCATCAACAGGTGTTCTAACTGGTATCTGTGCTGAGGGTATAAAACCCAATTGATGCTGTTTTGATTTTAAAATTAATTATGTATATGAGACTATCGCTCCCTTAACTGAAAGAGTAATTTTTCCACAAAATACTTGGACAATGGAGGAAAATGGCAAGTGTTTTGAAAAGGCAAGTTTTTCAGTAGTGTTACCAGTATTTTGTGATTGATTGTGGCGCAGAAATAATGTGAAGGGTTAATATTACTGTTTGTTTTTGCATTACTGTTACAAGTGACCTTCAAAGAAAAGAAGCTTTGTTCTCTTGATGTTGTTATGATGAATAAATAAAAGTTATTTTTTTCCCCCACCAAGGGAACATGGAAATAAGCACATGCTTTTATTCACCACTCAGTAGATGATGAGTCACTGCCAAAGGTTCTCACTTAGAAGTATTTCTCAGGCTGCCTCTATGCAAGAAAATGGGAACAGTTACTTAGATTTAATCCAATATAGCTCAATTTGTGCAAAGTATGGTGTGAGAGAGGCTCTCTCCACCTGCCAGAAGCTTCCTGTGGTTCCAGTCGTGGAGATGCTCTTGTGCTATCTTTGAAGCCTTTAATCCATGACATTTCCCAGCCACCCCGATGTTCTTTTCAGCGAAGAACGGTCAGCACGACCGGAGTTTCTAATGTTAGAACCCCTCACTTCCTGAGGCACCTGAGATAAAAAACAACAGACCTTTCAGGTTCCCTTTTTGTCTCTGGGCACAGAAAATACCACAGACTGACAGTCTCCCCTTGCTGGTGTTGAAAGCTGTGGTTTCCCATCTCTCACCTGCTGGTGAAGAAGCAGCGAAAATCATCTGCTCTTACTCTCAGTCATTGTCCCATCACAGTCATAAAGCCCTTCAACATGGAAATTACACGCAATGGCAGTGGCACTGATGTGATCAGTGTCCCCATGCATGTCTGTCAGTGACAGCTCCACCCAGGCACACAACTGATGAGAAAATGGATTTTAAATCCACACGGTAATTTTAGAAAGGCCATTGAAAAATCATGCTAAGATTTTACACTGAACACCAAAGATTTTTTTTTCTAATTCTACACAGGCCAGTTTATTCCCCAGATTCCTGAAATCCAGACACAGAACCAAATATCAAACATTTTTAAGTCCCCAACACTGTAACTTTTTTTTTCCCTTACAGAAAAGGATGGGACCATTCAATCACCAAGTTAATAAATGAGTTATAAAGACTCCCAGTGTAATTTCAGCGTTAATTGGATGGTTTGAATTGAAAAAAAGGATGGGTTTTGTTGGAGGGTTTTTGGTTTTTTGAATGAATGCTGAAGAGGGAGATGTGGAGAGCATCAGATGGAGCAACGCATTTGAAAAATGTGCCTTTGGGGGCATTTTCTTTTATTCCACAGTACATTTAAACAACCAGCAAATAGCGTGTGCTTTGCTCCCATTGCTTCTGTGTCATGGCAGGACACAGCTGGGTCACTGTGCAGGACACGGTGACATCTCTCTTCTGTACTGTGTTATTTTATCTGTTTACTAAGGTCCTTCAAATTCACAGAGAAACGCAAAGCTAAAAGTGCACTTGCAGTAAATTACCAATGTTTGTATAATACAAGGAACAGATCCCTGACAGAAAGTAAAAGAAAAAAGATAAAAAGACAGCTACAGCTAAAACAACACAGACCTGCTCTCCCACCAGAATAAAACCTGGCTTCATCTCACTGTTACTGTCTCACTGCAGCCTCACACGTAAATTGTTTTATTTTAGGAGAGCATTTGAATAAACACAGAGTAAGAAATTCAAATGAATTTATTTATGTGCAACTCAGACCAGACTGACATAAACAACTTCACATGGAACTAGCAGAGATCCATGGGTAAAAAATACATACAGAAATTTAGATATGTAGGAAAATTCATACAATTCACCACATAGCCAAACTATTCTGTCTTCACAAGAATGCTTCATAGAACTAATTCCTAGCATTTGTTTAATCTAGTTTTACATGTCTTAAATTAATTGCCTACATCAATTCTCCTGGTAATCCAGATCATGTCTTCTTTTAATTTTATCTGAATATCCCTGTTTATTCACATCCACAGATATTACTCAGAGATATATCTTCCTTAAAAATACTTCTAGCAATTGCTGATGGTTTTTTTCAATAGTTTACTGAGTTTTAACACATCCCAGTACTTCAGGTGGGAACTGGTCAGTGGGCAAAAGGTTTCTAAATAACAGAAAAGTCTGTCTGTGTGTAAGGGGGTACTTTTGAATTAAATGATCAATGGAGCATAGAGGGTGATAAAGAAAATCATATTAGGATGTGAAACCAGCTAGAGTATGGTACAATGTAACTTCATGGCACAAGCTAATTGTAAAGGTCCATTGTGCTTTATCCCCTATTATCAGAGCTGAGTTCTTCCTTGGTTTTGCTACATATTGCAAGATAGATACATCTACCCTTGAAACACAATGGTAGAGGTCATACATAGGGGTGAGAAAGATGATGATGGGAGGAAGCTTATGTGGGCAGGGGTCACTCGCCCCTTGCCCCACAGGTAGGGCATGTGCAGACTGTTGCCATTAGGTAATGATTAGGCGGTGTTTGGCTGCCATTCAGGCATCACCTTATACTGCGTACTGGCCCTACATAGTATAATGTGGAACTGATAAAAATGGGGTGTCAGGACTGCTGAGTTGAGCGATACTCATCCTACCACCGAGACTGTGTTGCTCCGCGGGGACGCCCGCTAAGTATGAGTACCGACCAGCTGCTGCAGATCCTGGTAGCCCTGGCCTGTCTGTGTGGGTAAGCACAGTTTATTGACAGGAAGCAACCGAGAGAACAAACTTTTTAACCTTTTAATCCTTTTAGTGTCCCTTTAATTCCCCTTTATTATTGAATAAGTTGTTCATAGTATTTTCCCTTTAATTTCCCCTTTTACTAACCAATATCGTGTTACCCATAATATAGTGTTAAGATCCCTTTTTTGGCATCCCTTTTTACTAGTTAAGATTACACCGTATTGAATGCTGTTCGTAGTATTTGTTTTCAGACCACACAATAAGGTAGTTATTTTGTATCTCTTTAGTTTTTGGTTTGGTTTTTTTTTCCTTCCACTAAGTTTATTGTTATTATTACTATTTTCACTGTAATAAAGATGTTTTGTGTGTTTGAATATCTGTGCACTTGTTTTATTCCGGGCATGTATCCTAACAAACTGTTACACTGTGTAGACCCAAAAAGGCCTAAACACTGAGAGATGAAATCCCTTAAGTCAATGAATGCAACTGCCTGCAACAAACTGTGGCTGAAAAATAAGTACTTTCCCCAACCTCATTAAAGGAATCACAATTGCAAACCTGACCCTTTGGTGGTTATGGCCACTCACTTTGCCTGGTGGAATAAATTAAAGTAAGTACTTTGTTTAACTATCCCAAGTACCACCAGATAGTTTCTTCCTTATATGGAAAAATTTTTGCTAATTTTACCCATGTATACCTTAGTAGGTAACAAAAATGAGGAAGGCTCTACCCCTCAATAACACAGAACAATTATTAGATGGAGCTGTCAAAGGAGCCATAGGTAACAGCAGGGAGTCTTGGATTTTAGTGACTGTGTGAAATCACCATGTTTCAAAATTTAGGATTAGGAAATGTAACTAATTTTTCTATCACAGCTGTACCAGGCCTATGGAAGAACTAAAAACTGCTGTAATTAACTTCAGCACTAACAGCCTACAAAGTGTTGTGTTCAACATCCACATCAACCCAATTCCCACAGGAACCATGTGAGAGGAATGGGAACAGGAGGACAAGAAGACATGGCAACCCCTGCTCAGGGCATCAGTTTTTACCTAGAAATCAAAACCTCCTCTGTCACTGTGGAAGAAATCTTTGGTTTTGTTTGTATCGTTTGTAACATCTGGCAGAGGCAACAACACACAGCTGGTGCCTCAGTCTGGGTGAATTCTGAGGGCTGTAGAAGCAAAATGGGCAAAACAAATGGTTTAAATGAAGCAGGTCAGGCTCTTCCTGCAGTGGTCAGCAGGGTTTTGGCTTTTCTCAGAGGGAACTTCCATTTGTGAAAATTCGTGAAGTCCTGTCAGTTAAAGGGACGCACAAAAATCAGGACAACGCAGAAAATACCTGCGATCATAGAAATGAGCTGGTTTTGCTGCAATCACTGATCTCCCTGCAGCTCCTTGGCTCTCTGGCTGCCAGAGCCATGGCAGATTCCAAGCCCTTGAGAGAGGCACCAGCACTGCTCTGTCACAGCTCTCTGACTGTGCCCGATGTGCTCCTTGCCGGGACCCCTCCCTATGCTCCGGGCCAGGTCGGGATCACCCCCGGGGCTGTCCCAGCGTCTCCTGCAGCCCCCTCCCCACTCCCCCCCAGCTCTGATGTTGGGACACAGTGACCACAGGGCACAGAACCCCACCAGGGCTAACTCAGTACAAACAGCCCTTCTCCCCTTCTGGGATGTGGAGCCCCCAGGATCCCACATGGGGAGGAGGGAACACTGAAGGCGGCACTGGATTTTCGTTTGAGAAGCCTTTCCCCCAGTGTTGTACAAAATCTCCTCCAGTAACCAGAGGTATGCTCAATATGGCTTCTCTGGCAAGGAAAATGCACTTCTCTGAACAAGAAATCCTCACACTTGAAAGAAATTGCAATATAGAGCATTGTAACGTCAGACATTGCCTGCTTTGCATTTACTATTCTATTCCAATGGCTTTTTTGAATTCAGAATTTTGTGGCTCGAAAATGTCATAATAAACCCTACTTTTATCAAAGTTTTCTCGGATGGAAAGCAAATCCTCTACAGAATATATGTCGTCCTTTCCTGTCCAAACAGTGAGGCTGTACCTACATGCAAAAAAAAAGGGAAAACAGCAAAAGAGAAAAAAGCACATAAATCAGAAAGACATTGCACTAATAAGCTCCTAAAAATATTCATGACGATATCTCAATTTTAGTAATGTAATTAAATACCAAAAACTGCAACCCCTAGAACAATTTATCTGCAATTTATCTGTGTGAGTGTTCTGCCAAAACAAGCAAGTAGTTAAATAAAAAATCTTGGGCAGATATACAGCAAAGAAATTACCAGGCTGAGCATTTAAGCTTTAACAAAGTAATCAATAGTCACAGGCTGAGCTGCAGAACAGGAAATAGGATGCAATCCCAGACGTGGGTGATTGTCATGCTCTGTTCTGTTGCCTCGGTGATGTGCAGTGATGCCACCTGATTAACTGAATTGTCATTAATTGCATGTAACTTTTCAAAAAAACTGAAAATCTCCACAGTATCAATCACAGTTAAAAGCATTACTCTCCACAATCTCCTCATGACATATACTTAATGTTCCCCGTATTACTTTAAAATATGGGTAAATCAGAATTTAATTATATGTCAGTAAAACAGGCTCAGGAATTTCTGTCTTCTAATCATGCCACTGAAAAATCATGACTTTTATTCTGAGGTGAAAGAGAAAATCCTAATATTTCAGTGGGAATACTGCTTGTATCCAATGTGGATATATTTGAGACTGGCACAATTCATAAGACATATTCTTAATGCAGTAATATTGTGAAATTAATTCTTACTGTAGGTAATGAAAAATAAGCTTTTGGAAACTTATTATTTTACAGAAATTAATAGTGACCAATTCTGTCAAATGAAACAAACAATGTGAGAGCTGAAGGAATTAAAGAACTGAAAGGGAAAATATTTCCAATGTCACTGGGATAAGTGTGTTGTATTTAATTTAACAGCTGTGTTTATAACAGGACAGATGGGAATGGAGGCCCCCAAACCAACCTGTCTGACTGCTGGATCAGCCAGCGGAGAGCAGGGAGGGAGCGCGGCACTAGCACGGCCCTGACAGGGAATGTCACGGGCTGGGACAGGGCCTGGCACAGCTGGGACATCTCCTCCACCATCCCCCACTCATACCCTGCAGGGAACAACACTGGATTGAGAAAACCCTTCACAAACAACCCCCACCCAACCCAGAGCTCGACAGAGTGATTCAGCTGTGACACAAGATGAGCAAAGTCAGGGACTGGTGAAAATTGTGGAATTCTGAAAGGAAATTTCCAGATGGTTCTAAGAAAAAATAATCCCAGAGGAGATATGCAATATTAACATGGGAAAATAAACTGATTATTAAAACCTCCCTCTGCAGTAGCTGCACTTTTATTTCACATACAGCTACAGAATGTGACGTTTTTAAATTCGCTGCCACTGACTCAGTATGGACTTGTCTGACATTAACAGGGACCCTCTAGAAACAAAAAGAGGAAGGAAAAATTAGGGAAAAAATTTGAATGAATCCCATAGGACTGAGTTATACACAAACAAAGCACACAAAACATTCTGTGCTTAAAAAACTGCAAATATCAAGCAATCTAAAACACTCCAAGTGCCTCTGCTGAGATTTTTACAAGCACTGCAGGTACTTAAAATATGATTTAACTGTTCTTTTGTTTCCACAGGTTATGAAAATCTTACAAACAACAGTTAAAAAATTTTTCTCAATTACTCATATGCAATGTGTGACTGGAAAGAATAAAAAAGCACAAAATATTAAATAAATAGTCTTGTTGGAGAAACAGCAACTTTTAGTTGAAATCAGTCAAATGAGCTGTTTTTCCCAAGTCTTCCAGCATACCCTTAATTAGTATTACCATAAACTGAAACTGAGAATGGAGAGAACATTAAATTAATTTTAAAATGTTACTCAGTATTTCCAATGCATATTTCCACCAACTTTTTCCTGCGCTGAAAATATTTGAGAGAAAGCACAGAACAGTTTAATAAAATTACTGTGCATCATACAACAAAATACTAGATCTTGCTAATGAGTAATCAGCAATTGGAACAGTGTATTATTTTGCCCTGGTGGCCACAGACAATGCTGGTGGGGACCCTGCTGATCATAATGAGAATTACAAGAGGAATCCTGTGAAAAGGACCCAAAAATAATGAAAACTGGAAAATTCACTGCAAAAATTCAATTACTCAATAGAAATGAAGAGAAGGTTAACTAACAATTTGATTTCAGTGATCCAAAGAAGCACAGACGGGGTTTTAAATTTCTGGATAGTCTGTTTTTCCTCAGGAAACATGCCAGAATTCCAATTACCAAACCAATCCTCCAAGGATTCAGGGAGAGACCTACCTGAAACAGGGGCTGAGGAGTTTCTCTCCCGAAGCTCCTCAGTGCATGTGAATGAGTTGAAGAACAAAAGAGTTTATTTTAACAACAAAAAGATCAGATTTTTATGCAGTCCAGTTGCCAGTCCAACACTGAGGTAATTGCAGGATCGCACTGCATCCCACACACCAGCAAAGAAAATCATTCTCATGTCATTCACTACAAGTTTCAAATAGAGGATGTTGCAGAGCCTGTGTTGAGTCAATTAAGAGACAAATGTGAAGAAAAGCAGCTGTGCAGGGTGAGGCCTGGCTAGAGCTATGTACCTTGCCCGTGGTGGTGGCCATGCCAGCCTGTGGTCCAGCCCAGGGACAGGGTGATGTCAGGGAAGGTCGAGGTAATGGTGCCAAGGATGCTCTGGGCGTTCAGTGCCGGGCGGCTCCCACCGGGCCCTGCCAGGATGTCCCCGTTGATCCACACGGGTCTCCTCAGCTGCTGCTCCACCTGCCTCAGCAGCTCCAGGGACGGTCTCACGGCGTCCAGGCTGTGGAGGACCACCAGGGGAATCAGGGAAGGCACAGCACGGACAGAACAGGTGCGTTACCGAACTGTCGTGCTCAGACACTGAGCGAATGCTGATGACCCTTTGCCAGCAGGGGACTTGTCCTACACCTCTCAGACCGCCATTCTGCCACACCCCTGCTCCTAGAACCTCTTGGTGTCACCTCACAGCCCCCCAGGCTTGACACCTCTTCGTCTTGAGGGGTGCTTGAGAAGGGTTTTAAAAAAGGAAGCTACTGCAGGCTCCAACACTTCTGTTTAATGAGACCTGAAAGCCACAGATACTGTAAATATATTTATTTATATATATTCCTCTGGTTTATATCCAAGGGGTGAAAGTAATCTCTTCCAACCTTAACCACATTCAGCGTTGCAAAGATTTTATCACTACTTCGGATCCAGACTGAAAGTTACCTTCACACCTGTGCAAGCCAAACCACCCATACTATGAGAATAAAAAACCCAAAACGGAACATTTTCAGCAACTAAAAGAGTGAAAGGACACCCATTTGAGCACTTTATGCCTGGTCATGATTTTCCCTACAGTTCAAAAGTGTGGCAGCACAGAAAATCTGCCTGTCAGATGTTCACCCCACATTTAATTATTAAATTATTAAATATGAGTTGTCATTATTTGAGCAACCAGTGCAGCACACCTTGTAAGCATTTAACAAAATCTAGAGTAATGTATTCTGACTGTTCTTTCAAATCAAAAGAAAAAGCACAAGTAGTTTTTTCTACCTCTATCCCACCAAAACTTTCAAAACACCAGTACTCTGGAAGAGAAGGAGATGTAGAACAATGGGGAAAAGGAATGAATGCCAAGAAAACCTTTTTTCTCTTACAGCACATGAATTAACACTCTATAAAACGTTCAGGAATTTAAAATCATTATAGTCAGAGCTCTCATATTAGGTCAGCTCTAAAGCCAACAACTGTACCCTGAGCTGCTTGCATTGTTTCCTCCGAAAAGTAATTTTGTATATTTTAACTTTTGCATAGTGGCAGGAATTCCACCCAGTGCTTCCAGCTGAGATGAGCTCAAATCTTGCAGGAGAAAAATTAGTGATGGCCTGAGTTAACGTGTGGGCTTCAGCATTTCTTGCACTGTCTGAGGCCAGGACAGTTCACATCTGTCAAGGACAGTGAAGAGCCTTCCTTTGTACAACAAAGTATAAGATATTGTAGAGAGAAAAAAGCCCAAAGCAGCATCTCTTGAAATAAACAACAACACAGAAAAAAACCCCCAAAGCAAACATCAAATTCTGTTATCACTCATTTGACTCCATCTGCACTGTGCAATGTATTTTTAAATGCTTTTATACAATTAGACTTTTATAACGCAACATACTTTTAAAAGCTTTTTTCAAATCATTGCAATTGGCTGTAAACTCCTCATGGAAAAACAAACAGTAGGTGGTTTTAAAATTAATTTAAACAATAATTAAAATAGAAAAAAACCCAAACCCCAAACCCACAAGAAATAAACCCAAATGCCTACTTCCTTTTCTTCTCTTCTCTGCCCAAATGGACATACACAGATTCTGTAACAATAAACAGATTTAGCCTGCCCACACATTTTGCATTTTCAAGAACTCTGAAATGAAAATAGTGACTGTGTTACACAGAACAACAGGCATAAATCACATTTTACAACTATCTATTGGGGTTTTTTGCACTTCTGTAGCGTAGTGAGGCATTGATGAAGCTCTTTGTAATTTGCTGCCAAAACAGACTTTGCATATGGAAATTCAGTCAAAGCTGAAGTCAGGAGCTGCAGAAGTGAATGTCTGGAAATCACAGCTTACTTCCAAGGCTGTCTCATGGGGTTTTCAGGTGTATTTTCCATTCAAGACAACAAAACAGCTAGTGGTTAAAATTCTGAATTAACCTCTGAAAATCTAGTTAATAAATCAGGCCAAAGATAGGAGCCTTCCAGAGCGATACCACCATTTCCCTTTTCCCAACGGGAAATGTCTGCCCAAAGTAACTAAAAAAATATTATTGGTAGTTCAAAACACTTTCAAGTTTGTATTCTTGCGATGCATTAATAATAGGGATGATGTTTCCTCATTTCCTGCTCAGGAAGGAATGCATCGCACAAAATGGCACAATAGGAAAAAGTCTGGTCAACCATCACCTGTAAAATTGTTAACCAGTAAGACTGCAAACAACTTAAAAATCTTTTTGTGGAGATACCTCTTAAAATCCAGCTTGATGCCTTTATTGGTGTTGACCATCTGTGTCAGCCACTCCTGCAGTGTGATGTCACTGTCTGTGTCAGGGGGGTGAGCCAGGATCGGGTCTCCCTTCCCTCCCTCCCCACCACGGAGGAGAACATCAGCTTCTACCATGTGCACATTGCCTGGGGGGGATAAAAATTGAAGCTCTAAGGTGCAAATCCAACAGTTTCAGTGTCTGCTTCACAGCAACAATTACTTAGCAAGTCTTCCCACACCAGCCTGTGTTCACTTACTCCACACAGGCCATCCCCAGTGGGAACTGCTGTCTCTGACATGAAAGACACATTTCTCTGGTTACTTAACTCACAAACTCTTTAAAGATTTACAGGCATGTGAAAATTGATTTTTGTAGATACATTTGACCGAGTAATCACATGGGGTTTTTTTCATCAGAGAAACAGAAAAATGGACATCCAGCATGTGAATCCACTCTTATTAAATTTCAAATCTTTTCCTCTCAAAACAGGGTTCCAGACAAATACTTTCAGAGTAAAGATGAGCACAGGATTTAACACTGGCAGAGACTGAGCACTCCCCTTGTCTCATTCTCAAACCTGACCAGCCCATCTCAGCCAAAACTTTAAAAACAAGTCAGCCAGCCAGGAAAACGAGACCTGAAACACAAGACAGGCGAGTGCGAGTCTTAGGAATGCTGCAAGCTCTAGAAAACAGCTTTATATAACGAGTCTGGGCAGTGCTACCAGCTTTGCAGAGAATCCAATACATACAGTTCCTTAGACTAGAATACTAATAAAAAAGCTAGTAATGATATTCAAGAGAAGGCACATTACATATGGAATTACATAAATATTTCCCAAATATTCATATAAATTCACATAAAATTCCCTTCTGCCCAGACTGGGGCATCACGGATTTTCTCATTCTTCAACTCCCTGACAGGAAGGTGGAGCCGGGGGGGTTGGGTTCTGCTCCCAGGGAACAAGGGACAGGACAAGGGGAAATGGCCTCAAAGCTGTACCAGGGAAGGTTTAGTTTAGGCCGTGGAAGGGGCTGTCCAGGGAGGTGGTGGAGTCCCCATCCCTGGAGGTGTACAGAAGGTGTGAAGATGTGGCATTTGGGGACACGGTTTATTGGGTCCGGTGGTGCACGGACGAAGGCTGGACGCGATGGTCCTGGGGGGCTTTTCCAACAGTAATGACTGAGCAGGGCAGGAAAGCGAAAGGAGAAAGAAGAAAGGAGAAAGGAGAAAGGGGAAAGGGGAAGGGCTGGCAGGGCCAGTCCCGCACTCACTTCGCGCGGCCGCGGCCGCCCGGGCCCTGCTGTTGGCGGCGTGGAACCAGCGCACGGCGGCCCCGTCCCGCGCCGTGATGCGCCCGGAGCGCAGGAAATGGTCCACGGGCCACTCGCTCCAGGAGCCTGCGGGGACATGGAGGTCCCTCAGCACCGCCCGCACGGGAGGACACAGCGGGACCCTCAGCACCGCCTGGAACCGCCCCGGCCCCGCCTAGGCTCCTCCACCGCGGGGCCCAGGGCGGTGGAGCCTTGTCTCCGCTCCTCACCAGCGGCTGATGGAGCCCCTCTCCCCTGTCCCCGCGGGCCGAGCCCGCCCACGCCGCCGCCATCGCTCACCCGCGGCCGCGCTCGCCATGGCCCGGCTCATCCCGCCCAGCCCGCGGGGGTTGGGCCGTTCCGGCACCGCCACCGCCACAGGGGGCAGGGCAGGGGAGGGGAAAGGAAGGGGCAGCACGTCCAGGGCAGTGGCCCTGGGGTCGACAGTGTGCCTGCAAAACGGGGAATATTTGAACGTTACTCTAAATCAGGATGTTCTTTGCTGTTTGGTCTCCACGTACTTTCCTGATCAGCAAGGAAAGAGACCTGGTTAGCGGGACAGGCAGCAGCTGCATCCCTTACAGGAGGACATCCTGGAACTCACCAGCTGTAAGGGCGCAGTAAAGGATGTCCTCAGGGCAAGAGGACACAGTCGTAAGGTGCGCCAGGGAAGGCTGTACGTCAGCAGAAATTTCTCTCTGGAAAGGGTGGTCAGGCATTGGAAGGGGCTGCCCAGGGAGGTAGTGGAGTCCCCATCCCTGGAGGTGTCCAAGGAACGACTGAACGTGGCACTCAGTGCTCTGGGCTGGGTAACAAGGTGGGTATCGGGCACAGGGTGCCTCCCGGTCTGGGAGGCCTTTTCCAACTTGATTTGATTCTGTGTGAAATGAAGATGTTGATGTGTGCCTATGTACACGTTGCTAATTGGCAAAATGCTCAAGGTCTGTGTATCCTTTGGCTGAACTGTGTTCATTATAATACTAAACCCAACACTTAACAGGCCAAAAAAGACCCAGCCCAGGTGCAGACCGGTCCCCTGAGCACATGTAGAAGGTGGCTGGAGTTGTGCAACTTGTATGGAAATGACCAATTAATCCTGATAGAGGGGCTGTGCTTGGGAAGTTACTAATTCTGGATTTCTGTGTATAAAGATGGCACAGAAAGTCCAGTTGTGCTGGATTTGTGGAACACACTGCGAACCCGTGGCCTGTGAAGTTCTGAAATAAATATTTAGTGTCTCTCAGGTGTGTAATTATTGGCTTGTTGCACACCAGATGACAAATCAGATTTTGTGGACAACATCAGGAGTTCCCAGAAAGCTGCAAAGACAGGACACATCCAGCCAAATCATGTCTTTTTTCCTGTTTTATTATAAATAAGAGACAGAGATTGCAAGCACTGTAGTTAACTTTATTGATCATTAGTGAAAAGGGGTTAGTAGAGGGTAAGTGCCAAGAGACAGCTGTTGGTTTGTGTACCTCTGCAGCCACCCGTGGGGTGCAGGGTGCTGCTCACAGCCACCCCAGCCCTGCCACAGCCTGGAAATGGTGCTTGGCCTCGAGGGCTCAGAGGCAGCTTGTTTTTAACAAGGGCATGTTTTGTTCCTGCTGTGCGTGGTGTGGGTCCAGCCCTTCTCCAGAAGGGCAGTGTCTCTGAAGAAGTCAGCACAAAGCTGAAATGCAGCTCAATTTCCTCCAGGGTAAGATCTTGAAGCCTGAACCCTTCTAGCACCAGTGTGTTAAAGCACAGGTAACAGAAGAGCAGATTAGGTTAAAGGTTAATTTACAGATTGTTTTTGATACAAAAACATAAAATATCCCCTATTAGCATCAAGATGGCATCAAAGTTTTAATACTTTCATTATAAAATATACCAGCATTTCTACTGAAAACAATATAGATGTTGTATATATTTAGTTTTGGTTCTGTCTTGTGGCAGTTACCAAACCTGCATTGTGGTTCCACGAACCTCATTACAAATCACATGCATCACAAATACATAAATAGATCTAAGTGACCCCGTATCAAAAATACAAACTATGCAAGAACCTCAAGTATACTAAAAATCCCCGAATGGTTGGGGCTGGAAGGAACCTTAAGGACTTCCAACACTCCTGCCATGGGCAGGGACACCTTCTGCTAGAATTGATCTGTTCATGAAAATTCACACTTAATACATCTATTCTCCCTGAAAGTAAAGGTGGCTACTAGAAGGTGGTAAAAGCAGCAGACAGGAGCAGAAAAAATGCTGCAGAATTCTTGTCTGACTTATTGCTACATGTAGATTATATCAAGGCTAATTTTTTTTTTATAATCCTTGAAAGGTCAAATTGTATCAGGACTTCTAAACCACACTAAAGGAAAAAAAAAAGCACTTTTTATAAAAATAGCATCAATTTAAGTTAGATAAAACATTAAAAATACAAGAAAGAAATCAGTTATTCTACAAAACATTAATTCAGAGCATATGTTTCTGAAGCACCAGCATCAATCCCCATGTTAAGGAGCTCACCCACAAAGTCTTCAACACACCTGCAGAGTTCTCCCTGCCCTGACACACGGGGCTCACAGTCAGCTACAGATGGTCTCGTGTCTGCACCTCAGAGGGCAGGGGAACAGTTCTGGGCCAGCTTTGCTTCAGTGTTCAGCTCCTTTGCAGGTGGGAAGCACTTGCTGCACAGATTACATTTAACCATAGCAACTCGTAGTAACACACTTATCTGAGGTTGAGGCAAGGCAGTATGGCTTGGAGTTACACTAGGCATAGTAAATGCTACAGCTGTGTAAAGATTAACAAAACCTGCCCTCTTCTGCACCTGTATTAAGTGTAAACTTTCAGGACTTTAGGATACATTACAAACTGCAATTCCTTTGTGGTAGAGTAACCAGAGAGGGGGTTAAAAAAACAGTTTGAAAAGCTATTGAATGCAACAGGTTTAGAAACTTTAACATTGTTAGTGTTTGTGGCATTATAACTTTGGTGTTCAGATCTAGCAAATCAGTATATTGCCTGTCATCAGCCTTATCAAAACAAGTGTTCTGTAATGAAAAATATTAATTCCATTTTCACTGGTAGATTGGTAGGATCTGACATTCCACCATGAATCACAGGAATCAGAGCACTGTCCAAGTCATTCAGATAGTTCTGTGGAAGAAGGTGACCTCCAGATCCAGCTAAGTATTCAACCTAGGAGAGAAACACATTAATATTGATATTAATTAACATTTTTTGTATTAACAAAACAAGAATATCTCAGCTGGCATGAAGTGAGAAACTAGTCACTAAAGCAGCTTCTTCACCTGGGGTATGGCAAAACATTTAAAACATTCAGGGAGAGATCCAGGGTCTGTGCAAGGGAAGATACTTTAGTGGAAATGGGGAATCTGCAATGAAAGTTGAAAGATTACCATATCTGAGTCAATGGAAACTCTCAGGCCTATTTTATTCATCCCGTTACTTTTCAAGGTTTTGAGGTGAGGGCAGAGAGCAGTGCTGCAGGCAGTGGCAATCTCTTTAGCAAACTGGTGAGGAACAGCACTGGAGAGTACATTGTCCTTCACAAAATAGCAAACCTGAAACCAGAGAAAGAGTAAGAACAGTGAGCAGCCTGGTTACATCCCAAACTAAGGAAAAAGAGTAAATCAGTGTGCACATAACACAACGCAGAGCAAGCTCTAGGGCATATTGGCTGGCAAAGTACCCAAGTGTTTCAGCTATTCAATCACAACACCTCAGTGCCCATGGGAATGCCTGGGCTATGCATTTACAGAGCTGTCAATGCTAACAGACTTTTAGTCTTTTTCAGGGGAGAAAAATGAAAAGTATGTAAACTCACCAAAGAGCCACAGAGAACATTCTGCCTATCAGTGTGGCTACACATCAAAGCAGCCACATTTTTTAGTAGTATCACTTAGTATGACCCACTTTACCCCTTAACTATTGAAAAAGTACCAAAAAAGGCTCAAGAACAATGTAATTCACTAACTTCAGTGCACTTCATAACTTTTCCCTCTCTTTCGAAGTCTCTGCCTTGTGGTGCTTTTTCACTCTGAGTTCCTCCAATTGATTTTCCGTCTACTGGGCTTAAAATTCTATGGGAGACAATAGTATGATTAATAATTAAAACAACATTTTATGGTTTAGATTGAGTAATTTGTATGAAATAATGTTTATCCATCCTTACAACAAAATACAATACAGGGCTTGCATCATGAAAATACAGATAGTACAAAAAGAAATAAATAGGGAACTAAAAGCACAATATAAAGCCAATCTTGCAGGTTTAAGAAGCTATAAACCATTTAAGGTATGGACCACTGTTTTTCAATAAAAATACTTTACATTAATTTCAGGAAACTGAAGGCAAAAATCTGAACATTGGAAAGATGAATTCTCTAAGATGTTTTGCTTTGGTAGTACATTTACCCTTTGTTTGTTTTCTCTTCATTTTCTACCCAGCAAATATCCACGTATTCTTTTACATCCCCTGTATCCATTTTTCCACAGGTAATTCTGAAGTCTTTCTTGTCTCTCAATGCCTGACGTAGGCTTTCCATTGTTTCTCGTGTTATTTGTACCATTAGTCCATCTAGAAGAAATCAAGTTAAAATCCTAAATTATCTACAGGAAGAGCAGCACAGTTTTTTGGTAGAATCATGGCTTAAATTCTAGTGGGATCAACCCTCCCCTACAGCTAATTAATAAAAGCACAAAAGGACTCCATCCCCCAACTACAGTGTTAAATGTTACATGAAAGAGGAAGAAAACCTTTCTGTCAACAGAACTAAGGCTAAAACATCATTCCTGGACTAATCTTAGAATTTTTTTTCATTTATGTGCCAATATATGTATTTGAACAATATGGCAATGAAAACAGCTCCATAAAGGAAAGACTTGAACTGACTAAAGAGAGTTAAAACTTTGTATGTTTTATAACAAGTAGCTGAACTAACATATATTTTTTTACACAGCATTTTGTTTGCAACAGGTTTTCTATAAAGTTAAAAAACCTTGAAGAGTTTAGCTTACACTGAGGCATAAAACCTTACCCAAGACTACTGCTTTTATTTTTTGCGTAAGTTCTTTTAAGAGGAAAATACACAGGACAAAATTCTTACCTTCAACTATACTGGATTTAGCTAAAAATCCTGAAGATGTTTTTAAGGCTCCATTAAACACCACAAAACTTGCACCTGTAACTAGAAAAAGTAGGAACAAAGTGAGCACCACTTTGTGTCACTCAAGTCAGTCACTACTAACATTCCACTTACACTCCTTTTTAAACACATTGCAGTGTGACACCAGAGTTGCATCTTCCTTGCAGCCTAACAGTGAACTTACATTTCTGCTCTAGAAATGTAATTTTTCTATACTAGAGCACTTACCTTTCCTGGGATGTCCTGTGGCACTGACTGCCTGTGTGTGATAGAGGCCATGCTTGTTCTGCACACACACCAGGTGAGAATCTGCTTCGGTATTAAAACTTGCTCCAATGCTAATTACATGTTCATTAGAAGAATTTATCACCTTCATTATCTGTCAATACAAAATTTGTCATTACACTGACAAATTGCACTCACTATTCAAGTAGGTTTTCTTTTTTGGTTTGGGTTTTTTTTTTAAAGTCTTAAGCAAAACACCATCACCAGGAAATTTGTATGAGAGAATCCCTGAAAATACTAAAAGATTTGGAAGAAACTGCTGATTTTTAAGCAATTACCAGTTATCCTATATCTGAACTCATCATTATCCACCTTCCAGCATATCCAGGAAGGAAGGGTGAGTGCTCAGGTAATTTTATGCTCCCCCCATTACATATTTAGGTCAGTATAAAGTTCAGTGAGGTTTTTTTAAAGAAGAACTGATGGTAAAGGTGTGACTGGTATTATATGAAAAATAACAATTAAAGCAGCTTGGATTAGAAAGCTTATTGAGATGGGTTTACTCACCTCATTATACTTCTTTAGGGGTATTTTAATACAGCTTCTACCCATTTCCACATGAACAAAAAGGTTGTCTATGGTATGCAAAGTATACTGATAATTTCTAAGGTCCTATAACAGACAAAGTATTTACATTAGGAGACAATTAATTATTGTTTTCTTATCTTTTACAAAAAAATCACCTAGATAAAAGTTCTTTACATACATCTCTAGGACTTCTAAAAAGTAATGACATTAAGAGTGGCTAAAAACTTAGTGATCTCTTTTTTCCTACTGGGATGTATGTGACAGGTACCTTAGTGAATGTATTAACAAACTCGTAGGATGACAAGGTCAGTCTATCTACCAGTGGGTTATTTAGATTATGGCTACTTCATACACATTATGATTTTACTCTTTTAGGGAAGGAAGAACTTCAACACCCTCCCTCACTGACAGAAAAGTGAAGCATGGAAGCCATCATCTAGATGAGTTTGTTTCCAGGCTCACACCCTGCCCCCTACAGCTCGAACTGGCTGACCTATAAATTGAATATACTGCACCATTTCTAACACCTTTCTCTGACATCACCCATCATCTCATCCACTTCTGCAAAATTCTGTTTTTTTCCCAGAACAACAACATTAGGTATGAAATGTCTCATTTGCCTTCACTAGCTCAGCTGAAAAAAAGGTATAAAAAGGCTCTTTTCAACGGCTGAGCCAGGCAACCGGTACCTTCCTCATTCAGCACAAGTAGGGCATTTACAAACACATCTCAGTGCACTCCAGGTTGCCATGGAACAGGCATAGTTTGAGCAACAGTAAGGATGTAAACCACAGGTGCCCTTTGCCTCCATTAGTTACCATGGCCTCAGTCACTTGTATGGTGAGAGGTTTTGTACGATCTTCAACTGAGGATCTGCATCACAAGTGCCAAGGCACCACCAAGAGATTATTTTGCAGTCATCTAGTGATAAAAACTTGTGCCAAGGAGAACATATTCCCATTGCCTGCTTCAAGCTGACACAGCTGTGAAGGGGAAGGCCAGTAGAATTCCATAGAACCCCCCATCATCATCAGCACAACATTAAGATTCCTCAGAGTCTGAGAATGCAGTTACACATTGGTACTGTCATGTCACCAATCATGCTGGGAGCTGGCTCATGGGATTACAGTGTAAGATTCCTACATTAACAAGGAACATGCTGTTTTTCAGATGGTGCATGTCCTCTGACTAGTTCCTTACACAGTGACCTGGACACCAATTGTAGGGAACATGTCCCGAGGTGCAACAGGAAGGCACTGATGCTAGGGGACATGCGCAGAAACAGACACTCCTATTGGTTAAGAGTCACGTGGGATCAAGGTATAAAAGACCGCGCGTTGTTTGAATAAATCTCTTTGTTTACCATCTCACAGGGAGCGTGACATGATTTCTTTATTATATAAAGGCAGTGGCCACGTGGCTCGCTACAACCAATGTCAGAGAAAAGGCTTCAGTTCCATCTCAGCTCTGATGGCCAGGGGACTCTCAGGAGAGGATGCAGGGATTGCCTAAATAAGATGTGCAGCTCTTTCCATGGCCTTACCCTTAATGCTGGGATGAAAAGTGCTGTGAGCTCTATTGTAAGTATTAGAAGAGGAACACAGACCAGAACATTCCAGGCCAGGAACACAGGCTTACTGGAAGTTTAAATCAAATTGTTTGGGTAACAGAGGAAAAGCTTCCACAGGGAATGCCATGAATTCCAGGCTTGACTTAGTCTTATGATTTTGCCAAAAACTCCTTCACAAAAGACAGTCAGGCTGGTTAATTGTGGTAAGTAATTCCTCCTGCAGTTAGTCCATAGCATCTGCCTGTCAAGTCTTTCTTTACATTTAATATTGTCAGACTTAAGACCAGAATTCCTGCACCACACTGATGCTTGGAAGAGAAAAATGTACCTGAACAATGATTACTACCGGCTTCAATGCAAATGTCAATATTTCTCTCAATCATTTAAAGCCATTTCTTACTACCAGAACTGATGTATAACAATACCAGGTGAAACAAACAGCTTTCCTAACTCACTCACTCTCTGAGTAAGAAAGTTTCAAGTATGAAGAACAAAAACATTTGCATTTTAAATTTACCAAAATCCACTGCTTTCAAGGTTCAGAATTTTGAAGATATTTTACATAATTTAAGTTACAAGAGGAAGATAATAAAACATTTACTCACAACAAGCAGATTCATAATTGTGTGCCCGATCTCTCCAAAAAGTGGCTTCCGGTGCCTGTAACTCACCACAGGAGCTGGATAGGCTGGGAACAAGGAAGGAAAAAGGGCATGTTTACCTATCAACAACTCTAAAACTTCCTAATCCAAGTATTTATATAGTATATTTTCAGCTATAACCTGTGTTTCTTAATCTCATTATCTGACCAGCCAAAGCCAGCAGAGCCCCTCTCTCATTCTCTGTCATGGGCTGTGCTTCAGCCACCTGGTGATTTCCCCATCCATGGTTAAATCCTACAAAACTGATCAAAAAACCAAAACACAACGAGTAGTTTGGTAGGAGATAGAAGAACAAAGCAGCTACCATCCTCATCACCACACAGACATGGGCCTGGCTGGAAGTGATCCATTGTAGACTCCAGAAATCCTCGAACAAGCTAGTGGTACATACTGACGGACTTGCAGCTAGTAGAATGGTGGGGTCCTGCCTTTTCACAGGCCTAGACGTTTCCAATGTATTATTAAGTTACCTTTGTAGGTAATCAAAGCTGTACGCAGTTTATGAAGCAGTAATATTTTGGCAATATATTTAATTTCAGTAATTTAATTTAAAAAAAACATTCTGTCAGAGTTGTAAACTGGGCTTTTGAATGTCCCTTCAAACCTTTTTCCTACAACAAAAAAAGTCAGACATTTTTATATCAGAGTTTTTTTAATATCAGTTTTGGCTTCTTAGCATTCTCATCAGCTAAGAAAAAAATGAATAAAATTAAGGGAGTCAGTCCAGCAGGACAGTGAACATTCCCAAGTGTCTCAATAGGTGGCTTCCCGTGTCAGTCTTACCCAGGCGTACCATAAAATACTGCAAAGATTATTTTAAATATTTTACTTGTCTAAAAATCCCTTGTATTTTCCAAAGGGAACTTGACATTTATATAGTCAAGTGTTATAAATAATAATAATAATGGCCCATCTTCGCGAACGAAGATTTGGGGAAAGGTCTTTTACCTTTCCAGCCTCTGCAATGGATTTTTTAGGTGAGACACAGCCTGCGCTGAACTGAGCCCACCCTTTAATCCTGAGGACCTCACTGCCATTGTCCAAGCTCGCTTGGCCCCGGCACA